TGGTTATTACCGTTATTTTTGAATATTGATTAAAAAAATTTTTTTTATTTTTTATTAAATCTGAGTTACGTAAATATGTAACACATATTTAATTTAGATTTGTGTAATGTTAATCTTACTAAAATATTGAATTTTTATAAAAATCTTAATTTAGACTAATTCCAAAAATCGGCACATATGAATTATTCCATTTGATATTTTATTTATTAATACATACATTTTTTTTTTAATAATATTACAATTTTCTCCAATTTCTTTCTAATTAATGAAATTTTTTTCAAATTATATATGGATGAAATTTGTGAAATAGTTCCTTCTCAAAAAGGAAATGATAAAATTAATGTTCGTGGTTATCTAATGATAAAAGAAAGAAATAGAAAAAATAAGTTCTATTGGTGCTATGAGAGAAAAAAATCTGATTGCAAAGGTCGTGCAGTAACTATTTTTACAAATAATTTTCATTACCTTCAAAATTTTGTTGATCATAATCATGCTCCACAAGCAAGTAGCGTCCAAGTTGCAAAAGTTGTTGCACAAATAAAGAATCAAGCTCAGGAAAGTAGCAGCAATCCTGCACAAATCATCCAAAATAATGTCACAAGAACTTTTGAAGAAATTTTTCCTTATTTACCAACACAAGAGGCTCTTCAAATGAGAATTAAACGAGTCAGGAAAGCAAATACACCACCAGAACCACAAAGTCTTGAACAAATTAATATTCCTGATTCATTTTGTAATACTTTTAATGAAGAGTTATTTTTAGTGAAAAATATTGAAATTAGAAGTGAACACATTTTATTATTTACAACAAAAGCTAATGTCCAACATCTATCTCAGTCACCATTCTGGATCATGGATGGTATGTTTAAAATTGTCTCCAGAATCTTTTATCAACTCTATACAATCCATGGTCCTGTTGGTGCAGAAGAAAACTCTAGAATTCTCCCATTAGTATATGTATTGATGAGTGGAAAATCTAAAGAATTGTATCAAGTATTATTTCAAAATTTAATTGAATTTGCTGAAGCAAATAATATTTCATTAAGACCATCAAAAATTCTTACTGATTTTGAAATAGCAGCAATCAATGCGTCAAATGAGGAATTTCCTGGTGTTATTAATAAAGGTTGTCTTTTCCATTTGGGGCAAAGCGGCTGGAGGAAAATCCAAGAATGTGGCTTAGCCGTTCAATATGGTTCTGATGAGCATTTAAGTCTCATATTGCGTTACTTATTTGCTCTAGCATTTGTTCCATCAAGTGAAATTCCCATTGCTTTTGATATCTTGAAATCAAGTATACCACCAGAAGCTAATGAAATTGTGCAATGGTTTGAAGAAAATTATGTCCTTGGAAAAGTACGAAGACAATTACAAGATGAAAATATAATTCGCACACCACCTCTTTTTCCACCTCAGTTGTGATCTGTGCATGATTCAATGAAGTCAGGTATTCCAAGAACACAGAATTTCATTGAGACCTGGCATAATCGTTGGAGCAATTTAGTTAGGGTTGGTAAAGTCAGTCCTAGTTCGGTTTTAGTCCTAAGACTTGCAAGTTTTATCCGATAGACCTACAAACTAAGTCCATATATGATTAGTCTAGGACTTGTGTCTGACCAAGTCCAGTTCTGGACTAGATCCTAAGACTCAGTCCTAAACCAGTTTAACGTATATCATTTATTATAAATTCTATATAAAATTTCTTTTTTTTCTATCGTTTTCCTTAAAATTAACATAAAAACATTATAAAAAAACTCCAAAAACTCCAAAAAAATATACTAAAAGTTTTATTTGTATAAATGATGATCAATTGATCATATGTTAATATGTTATACAACGTAATACTAAATACTGC